ATTATTAATAATTAAATGTTTTAATCATTAAAATTAAAGTATATGGCGGTTTATTATATTCTATTTAAAGAAATTTGTGTTTTAAATCACAGACCACGATAAGATTTACTTAAATTTATTAGAAAAATATACTTGGACTTAGAATGAGAACCTTGAATAAAAGAAGCGGAATTGGTAATTTGGTACGCGCGAATTCGACGCGACGGATTAACGAACGCATTGTTTCATTGAACACTCGTGTTGCTCGAATTTCGCTGAGAATTAAATACAATACCGATCCGCTATTACCTCTCGCCGATCGCATCTGTTACCGCCTCGCCTGGCCCGATTCGATTTCGCGATCCGTTTTCCGAATTAATTTCAGACGGTTCCGATGAGAAGAACTAATTAGAAAATCAACAGGGTTAAAGCTAGGTTCGTCCTGTCTTTAAATTAATTTACGCCCGTCGTAGTAAGCGGGACAAAACGTGGCAATTGTTTCTGCGGTAGATAGATTAAATTGACGGTGTAGAAAAAGGGGCTACTACGTGTGGGTTCATCGTTTTCAAGGTTTTTCACGGTAGAACGCGGGGAGTTGCGGAGAAAAGCAATAAACATTGTCAAGGAATCAACGAAGCAACGAGCGGCCAAGCAATAAATTCCCCGGGAAAAGTTGAAAGCCAGGGAAAAAAAAAAAGTTCGTATATTTGACGGTTCGCGGGGAATTCGGAAAAAACTCTGGCCATATATTAACCCTAACGAAATTCCAAGTTGATGAGCTTTCTCGCCGTATATTAAGCGACGTGACAGATCGCGTTTCCGTTATTTTTCACTACCTTCCTTCGTGCACGCTGCTCGCATAAGCGATTGTCGCGAAATTAATTATTCCTCAAAATTGGACAGGGTCGCATAGTCGTCCATTGCATTTTTTTATCATGTATTCCCAATTAATCGAATCTACTGCATCGCGAATTTAATCTCTTAGGCATTATGTGCCACTATAGTGGCTTTCGCGGATGTCATCTCTCAGTACGACGTGCCACTATAGTGGCTTTCGTGGATATCATCTTCCTGTACGACGTGCCACTATAGTGGCTTTCGCGAATGTCATCTCTCAGTACGACGCGCCACTATAGTGGCTTTCGCGGGTCTTTGTGTTGTACCGTGTTTTACGTCACGTCGACATCGGTGGTTATTAGAAAGATTAACATTTTTCGAAATCCCCCTCCCCCTTCTTAACAAATACGTTTTATATAGATAGTAATTTATTTGATCATTTAAAGCGAACAGTTAGACGTTCGTGGATCGTTCTGGTTTCCGCAAGCTGATTTTTAGAACGTTCGTGGTATCAGTTAAATAAATCCATTTTAGGTAGACGTTTATTTGATCATTTAGAGCGTACAGTTGAACGTACGCGGGAGTTCGAACCAGGAGAAAAGAGGGACAGCGGCGTCTAGCTCGTAATTCGGAAATCTTGGGTAGCGGGCCAGGGTATCCTGGCATTAAATTGAATTACGTCCCCGGCGAACGGCGTCGTAAAGTTCGCCCCTCGTTATGTACACGAATCCTTCGGAAGAGTATAACCGCGAACGCGGACACGCATAACCGGGGACTTTTATCTATCTGGGTTAAACGATGTCCATTTGTCGTTCCCTTATCCGAGGCTGGCCGAGACGTCCGGCCCGGAAATCGAAAGCTCGTCGAACCGCGGTTCGAGCCAACCGGGGAAAAATCGATGGAAATCGTCTGACCGGGGAAATTTCTGACCACGCCACTTTTTGGCAATGTTTCAGAGACGCCGAATAAGACTTGGCTGAACCGTAAAGACTTGGTGATTTACCCCAGCGAATCTTCTTTCGGTTTTTCAACAACAATGAGTGAGACACGTGTACAGATAGAAGGGGGGATGATTGAAGAATAAATACTTGGAAATATAATCTCATAGAAAAATAAGCCAGCCTTTTCTTAAGTACCCTCGATCTCGAAAGGTTAATCACGAAGCTTTACTTAACAGTGTATCTTTGATCAAAATTTGATNACTATAGTGGAGCGTCGTACAGGAAGATGACATCCGTGAAAGCCACTATAGTGGTACGTCGTACAGGAAGATGACATTCGCGAAAGCCACTATAGTGGCGCATAGTGCCTAAGAGGTTAAACGTGTAATAAAGAAGAGAATTTGGAGACGAGCAATCCATGTTCTCGTCGTGTTAATGAGGAGTTCCGTTAACTTCACCGAGATTAACACCTCTGGTCTACCAATCGGACGAGCCAAGATGGCCAATATTTGCGTTGATTACAACGGGACGGACGATCTCCCGTAAAGACGTCGTGGCCCGGGTCATCCAGTTCCCGTTTCAGCTCGCGGCGATCGCCTCAGCGTGGTCTGTTCCAACGCCGCGGTGGAACGAGCGATCGCTCCGGGGTTTGGTTTAAAGCCGCGGCGATGAATGGAACCGTCTTGCTGGCGCTCGTCCTCCTGTCGCCGTGTCTGGGAGAGAATTTCCAGGAGGATCCCACGGGACGGAACGGCACGGAACGGGACGTTCTCCGGCCCGGCAGTCCCTCGCGGCGACCAAGGGCTCTCGTTTTTCCTGAAAACTCTCAGCTTCTGGTACGTAAAAAGGGAGCAACCGCTGTTCCCAGACGGGGCTAATCAACCGTCTGCGCGGCCAATCGAGGATTCACTCGCGCGTCGTTCAACCGGCTCGCGATCGGCTCTTTTTACTACTCGCTCCAGGCGGATCGCTTCATTATTTCACTTCTACCTGTCACGGGTAAACGTCCGTAGATTAATTTGATTAACTACTCTCGGCATGATAAATGATGCTACAGAAATTAGTACGGCTCGTTCACAGAAATTAACCACGAGAATGAACCGTGATTGTCGAACATGCTACTTTATATTTACATTAATTTGTTTTATTAGACTGCAGCTTTTATATAAAATAGAATATGTAGAACTGAAGTATATATTTTGCGTCGTGCACTTCTGATATTTTTTATAAAAAATTGCCAGTTGTGTAAGTCAGTGAATCCTCGGTTATTCGCGTCTACTTAACCCTTTCGCTACTACGGGCCACTATAGTGGCCTTCCATAAAATGCCACTGAG